CTGACAGTTATATTTAAGCAACTTTGAAATTGCATTGATTGCATTTTCTTCAAAGAGTAATTGAGAATTTTTATCTAGGCAAAATGATCACATATTTTAATTCTGTATTGTAAATTGTTAGAAATAAAAATAAATGTTGACTGAAAGCTAATACGAGACAAAAAGTAATGTATTAATCAGATTCACCAAGATGCATACACATTTATTTTAAATTTTTATTTTTTTGAGAGGACACCCTGTGTGTGTGTGTGTTTGCGCTTGAGTTTAAAAAAAAATTTTTCTTTTTTCTGATCTTTTCTTGATTATTGTTCATTTTATCATTCTTGTATTGCAATTTCTCTTGTAAATAATATTATCATTCTTGTATTGCAATTTCTCTTGTAAATAATAATGGTTAAATTCACCATCTTTGCGTGGGAAATGTTTAGTATTCATTGACCGAACAGTTTTACTCTTGGTTGATATTTTAAAATGTTTCTCTTAAAACAGTTTTTCAGGAAATTAAATTTCTCAAGACGTTTTCCCTCTAATATCAATAGGAATTTCCTTCCAAACCTTTTGTTTTGGGTTGTGTATAAAGTTAACATCTTCGTTGTCATTATTTTCTCTTCTAGTTACATGTGCTCCCCATTTTAGTTGTTGCTGTTGTTGGAAGTCTTCAAGTGATGTGGTTTTTGTTAGTTGGTAAAGCTCTTTGCAATTTTTGTAGTGCCAGTAAGGTGGAAGAATTTAATTTGTCCACTAATTTAGTTGATTATTTCGCATAGTTTATAGTAAAATGAAATTTCCATTTTAATTACATTGTTTTCCATTTTTTTTTCTTTTCTAATTGTCAAACAGTAATTCATTGTTTTGATGCTACTGAAATCAAAAACTTCCTAAAGTAACACTGTCTTTTAAGTTTGGGCAAAGTTTAACAAATGTACCTGTAAACAAAAAAAAAACATGCCAAAAAGATTTTTTTTTCTCTCCTTTGATACCACTATTCCTGTATGTTTCATCATAAATTTTTATTGTTTTAAAAATCTATTTTTAGAATTTTAATAAAATCCAAACATGAAACTGGATTTTATTTTGTACTTTCTTTTTTTTTCTCAAGAATTGGCCACAAAAATATTAAACATGATTTATTAGATTATGTGAAGCAATTTCATTGTATTGTTTGTTATTATTATTATAAAGAAATTACTATGAAAATAAATTTTTAACAGATATACTTAATTCCAAAATTTGAAAACTGATGTTTCCACATATTTGATTAAGCACCTAGTTAATCTGACCTATGTGACTATGTAACTGACCCTTTTTGGTTCAAATTCTCAGGATTTCTCAATGCACAGATTGAAATAAGTTATATGGTATTAACAGAAAAATCCTTGACCAGGATTTTTCTGTTATGTTGAATTCTCAGACCTGTGTATATGAATGTATCATTTGCTACCTTGCCAATTTTAAACAGTGTTTGAAAGTTTTCTATCATCTTTCCAAATCATTTTCTTCCAGCCCACATTAAATCCTCAACATGAATCAGAAATCAGAATCATGATGCCAGTTGAACAAGGCTGGATCTATTTTCAAATCATTTACATCTAAGTTTATCTAATACCTCACATAAACTAAGATGCCAGCTTCTAGATGCATCATTTAATCCATAAACACATTTCTTCAGAAGCCACGATGGATTCAGAGGTTGGTTTCAGATACATTTGTAGGGATATAACAGGTGATTATCTGTCTTTGTTTGTGATAAAGCCACATGGTTCATATGATGGTCGCTTAATGACGTCACTTTATAGAGTGATGAAGTGGTCAGTACTTCAGTCAGTTTCCAAGAGTCAAACTGAACAGTTGCCTTGCCTGGGAAAACCAGCTGCCACATAGTGCAGCTTACAAGCTCATGGTACCATTTTCCTATGGAAATATATCTTCACCAGATATAGAAACTCTCTGGCTTGCCATCCTCAATTTGGGGAAAACCTATGATTTGCTGTTTTCAATTTGCAGAATATGTTCTTGCTAGTGACATAGCAGATAAATCCGGCTCACTCAAATCTGGAATCCTAAATATGGCTTCTCTAGAAACACAGAAGAATCTCCGGCAGCTCCAATTCCTGATGTGAATTATAAGAAAGGCCCTATCTTTTTATTTTATTTTCACACTGCTTGTTATGTTAATTTTCTCTGTGTGGGACAAATGTAAATATGTGTATATAATTTTGTGTATGACTTAGTGGTATAAAACTGTCTGAGAACAAAGCATGTTTGTTGTTTCTTTCTTTTCAGTTACTTTGTTCTGTCCATGAGATAAGGTGTTATTATAATATCATAATGCCTTTAATGGGTGAAATGCAAATGGAAGAATATTCACTTTCTGATATTCTATATATTGATAATAGTTCATCCTTTTTATGGTTATGGTCTAAGAATTTAATTAATGTTTCCAAATCATTTTCATGGTTCAATTTATCCTCTAAGTTTAGTAAATACTTCTTGTATATTTCCTTCATTTTCTTGAAAAAAAAAAAAAAAGTCAATCTATTGATTATGTGGTTTAGTCAGAAAACATTGATGTTTTAGAGTTACCACTAGATTAGCCATAATAATATTTGTAGTTGCCATAATTTTTTTTAATAAATTTCACACACACAGTAAATATTGTAATAAGAAAAGTAAAAAAAAAAAAAAGAAAAGTAAAATATGCAAACAGTTGTTAACCAAATTCTACAGTTTATCCAAAAATACATACATTTAGGCAGAATAGTAGTCGAAATTCAACAAAAAAAATCTTTGAGCAAATAGATATCGATATCATTTTCACAAAAAAAGGCAAGAGAAAAACATAAAAAAGATATCCAACTAAGCTCTGCTACCATGAATAGGTTAAATGTAATTTGTTTCTCTTCCTGGTAATCTTTTTCTGTCTAACAATAAATTGAGACATGTCCTTGTTCAATATGGCCACCTTATATAGTTACAAAACAAGAACCATAATTCCTGTTGGTAACAAGGGACGTAACTCCTGTTGTTGATAAATTATTGAGCCATAAGTAACTGAACAGTACTAAATAAGAATTTAGACAAGATATCCCTGGACATTGACAGCAGAAAAGAACAATCTACCTCAATTGATTAAATAAAGAGTTATGTTTAAAATTCCCTGAAGGTTAACTGGGTTCATAATCACCTAATGAAAGCTGGAGAGCACAACGGCAGAAACACGATAACAACAAAGATGTGGACAATAGTCTGTGTGTAAATAATAACTCCTCATCCCCAAAACTAAGACAAAAAATTATTCTTGTAAATAAACAATCTGATAAATAGTGTTTTTAATATTTTTGTTGTCAATTTTTGAGAAAAATGAAAATGTATAAATCCAGTTTGATAGTTTGGATTTTATTAAAATTTTAAAAATAAAAATTGCTGAGGGAAGCATACAGAAATAGTGGTATAATAGATAAAAACTATTCTTTTGACACCTCATTTTTTTTCTTTTGCATGAATGTGAAACTTTACCCAAGTTTGTTTCCATATTGTCAGTGTTTCTTTTTGCAATAATTTAAATCGGGCAGGATTTCTTTTCATTTTACTGAGAGCAAATAGGACTTGATTTTTAGATGATAAATCTGTTTAAACTGGAAGAAACAAGTGTTATGTTTGGAATCCTTTAAATCCTATATAAGATAACAGCTTCTAGATGTCATTATGAACATTTTTTTTTTTTTTTATTTGTAAGGCTAGAATAGAGAAATTTGTCTTTATAAAACCTCTTTATTTTTTTTTTTACTAAAATTTGCCTTATTTTATTTTTATTTTTTTTACCTGTCATTTTCATTCTAGGAATCCCCAGCATCTTCTACTCCACGTTTACCATTGATCAATGATCTACAGGACAAATCACATCTTCGGAATGCATCTTATCTTGGAGCAATACAAGAGTTGGCCGACAGAGGGGAACAACAGAATTATGACGTCCGTGCAGGGCTTCAGAAAGTATTACAAGTCTTCATCACTAATGCTGCTAACATTTTCCTGTTAGAAACTGATGAGGAAGAACATCGAGATTGCCTACTTTTAGACCAGGTTAGTTTCTAATTGTTTTGTATCTGATTAAACCCCACTCCATAATTTCATATTGCTGCAAATCTAACTGATGCTACAAAAGGTAATAATTATTCCATATATTGTCTGGTCTGTTGCCTTGATCTAGTGTGGATGTGAGGGTGGTGTAATGTATAGCACTTCTGAATAAGAAATCTGAGAGCCATGTTTGAATTCCAGTTAGGTTCATTACAATCACTTACATGCAAATACCCTTGGGAAAGGCATGAATCCATCATTTAAAGTCAGTCAGTCTATGTGCCATGCATGATACACATTTAGGTATTCATGTATCTTTCGACACATGACTGATGAGGCAGATTTTTTCCCGCAGTAGGTTGCCATTTCTTTCTACTGTAGATCAGTTGCCATCCAAGGCTATAAAACCCTGCCTGTCCTGCTATTTAACCATAGCTGGAGAAGAGGATTCATACCTTTCCCAACGGTATTAGCATATAAGTGAATATAATGGATTTGACTGGAATTTGAACTCTGCTCTCCGATTCCTCAATCTGAGCTGCTATCCATTACTACACCGTGCCTCATTTACGGTAATAATTGTTAATAATTATTCCATATATTAAGTTCTGTTCTATGGACAATATTTGTTACCCAGCACAGGGATTGAACTTACATTCTCTTGGTTATAAAAAAACTAATGCTTTATTGGATTAACCTGTCTCCCCTGCTGGTTAAGATGGGTTCTGCCCAAATAGCTCAATTTAAGCTAGTTGTTTTTCTTTACACAGACGGACACTTTTCAGTTGTCTGGTGTAATTCCTGTCAGTGTAATTCAGCAGTGAACAGCCTTTTTGCTGCTTGGGTCATATTCCGAAGATAATTTAACACCATTTATTGTTTGGTCTGTTGTCTTCATCTATTATGGATGTATGGGTGGTGTAATATACAGCACCTCGGAATAAGAAATCTGAGAGCCATGTTCAAATTCCAGTTGGATTCATTATATTCACTGATTCGATGAGGGCTGGAGGGCACCATGGTTGAAGAGGGCAACAATCTACATGTAAATAATGTAACTAGTACGACTTGTATCTAGAAAAATCATTGTTATTTGCAAAAAAGTGTTAATGGAATATTCACTCGTCAAAAAAGAAGTGTTTTGGCTTTAAATAACCCATAAAGGGTTGATAACCCTTAAAAAAATCAAATCAATCATCTTCGTTTTCATTCTTTTAGATTTTTATAATTGAAAATATGAATGGGATAAATCAAAAAAAAAATTTCTATATTTACTTCTTTAGAGAATGCAAAGAAAGTTTGTGTGTTGGGGAGGAGTAAAACTAATTATTAAACTTGTGTGCAGTTGTTTTGTTTTATTTTAACATTAATTTTGTTTATGATCATAATTTAATCTTTCATGATCATAGATGTCTTTATTTGTGCCATCAGTTTAGTTGGCCTATAATATTATAATTCTAACCTGCCATTGCCTCAGATAAATAATAGATCATTCTGTTTTGATTGCAAGAAAAGACTGAAATAAAAGAGATACCTTCTGGTTTTGGTGAGAAAAAGAAAGTATACGTAATAATACTAAAATGTGTGAACATATATGACCTTCACACAAGCTGGGAAAAGGCCTGATGCAAGTTTTTAAACGATTTTTTTTCTCTTTTTTGCCCCTAAATCATTCTTGTTATACTCTGCTCTTTCACAGTCAGTCTTTTCATGTTTGTAAACATCTTGGAATAATCCCTGACTATCTTAGCAAAGGCATGACCAGTTGGTGTTATAAGGGAGCTAACTCTAGTATAGCAGAAAGTTACAACCCCTCAAAAAAAAAAAATACATATAGCTTATGGGCCTCTCAAAATCAAAGTAAATGACCATGCGTTTTGGGGAATTCTTTGTTAGGCTGAGAACTTTCCAATGCTCCTCCTTGTGTCTGTATGTAAATACATGCATACATTTACATTTTATTTTGGGAGCCATCATAGTACTAATGTGCTAAATAGTTGTTTCTTTTCCCATTTTTTCTTTCCTTCTCTTCTCTCTCTCTTCATCTTTCCTTCTCTTCTCTCTCTCTTCATCTTTCCTTCTCTTCTCTCTCTCTCTTCATCTTTCCTTCTCTTCTCTCTCTCTCTTCATCTTTCCTTCTCTTCTCTCTCTCTCTTCATCTTTCCTTCTCTTCTCTCTCTCTCTCTTCATCTTTCCTTCTCTTCTCTCTCTCTCTCTTCATCCTTCCTCTTCTTCTCTCTCTCTCTCATCTTTCCTTCTCTTCTCTCTCTCTCTTTCATCTTTCCTTCTCTTCTCTCTCTCTCTCTTTCATTCTTTCCTTCTTTCTTCTCTCTCTCTCTCTTCATCTTTCCTTCTCTTCTCTCTCTCTCTCTTCATCTTTCCTTCTCTTCTCTCTCTCTCTCTTCATCTTTCCTTCTCTTCTCTCTCTCTCTCTTCATCTTTCCTTCTCTTCTCTCTCTCTCTCTTCATCTTTCCTTCTCTCTCTCTCTCTCCATCTTTCCTTCTCTCTCTCTCTCTCCATCTTTTCTTCTCTCTCTCTCTCCCATCTTTCCTTCTCTCTCTCTCTCTCCATCTTTCCTTCTCTCTCTCTCTCTCCATCTTTCCTTCTCTCTCTCTCTCCTTTCCTTCCTTCTCTCTCTCTCCATCTTTCCTTCTCTCTCTCTCCATCTTTCCTTCTCTCTCTCTCCATCTTTCCTTCTCTCTCTCTCTCTTCATCTTTCCTTCTCTCTCTCTCTCTCTTCATCTTTCCTTCTCTCTCTCTCTCTCTCCATCTTTCCTTCTCTCTCTCTCTTTCATCTTTCCTTCTCTCTCTCTCTCTTCATCTTTCCTTCTCTCTCTCTCTTCATCTTTCCTTCTCTCTCTCTCTCTTCATCTTTCCTTCTCTCTCTCTCTCTTCATCTTTCCTTCTCTCTCTCTCTCTTCATCTTTCCTTCTCTCTCTCTCTCTCTCTTCATCTTTCCTTCTCTCTCTCTCTCTCTCTTCATCTTTCCTTCTCTCTCTCTCTCTTCATCTTTCCTTCTCTCTCTCTCTCTCTCTTCATCTTTCCTTCTCTCTCTCTCTCTTCATCTTTCCTTCTCTCTCTCTCTCTCGTAACCAAATTATTCAGTTATTGCCTTATCAGATTCTGGGTGACTTTTAATCCTTATACCACTTAGTCATTTTAAAGATGGGACAACACACATTCTTGAGCTAAATTTATGAAGGAGGACTTGGAAAACTTACCCCCAATATTCCCCCATTGTGGGTTAAGAGAGATAGAGGAAGTTGGCAAGCCACTTACCTGATGAGCTTGTGAGAGTAGATGGTATAATGGGGGTCTTAGCAAAGGGAGAAACTCTAAGAGGCACACAGGATAGAAAGTTGTGGAGAGCCATGATTGCCGATATCCTGAAGGTGTGCAGCACATAGAAGGGGAACACTACCTATTTTGAATAATAAATGGAATAATGAAACCATTTCATTTTACAACGTCAGAAAACACCTTAATTCCTTGTCACTACCATTTTAAAATTATGAAACTTTTCAAGTAACCTACAGATGTGAATGATTTAATGCTAACAAATTTTAAGCATCTCCTCAGGGTTTAGCCTCAACATACAAAGCTTTTATATCGGGAATATTAAGAACTAAGTACAGTTGTATCCTCTGTAAAATAGCTTCATTTATTTTATAGTTAAGGTGTTGATCTTTAAAACTGGAGTTAACTTCTATGAACAATCTCTTTATAATTCTGATATAAAAGCTTTGTATTTTAAGGTTAATATCATGTTTTCAAATGAAAAAGAAATGCTGTTTTATTACTGACCAATCAACTACAATCAATTATACATTGTGTGTATTTTCTTTTACAGGTGGATTTATGCAAGAGGGTTCTGAATATCTACAGACATATTGTTCTAAATATACAATTAGCACCAAAAACATGGTAACTATATTATTATTTATATAAATATTTGTGCATGTCTCTCTGTAGGTTTACAAATGAACAGAAATAAAACAAAATTTTTCAAGCTGTAATGTTCTGAAAAAGATCACAAGTATAGAGGATGAAGAACTGGAAGACGTCCAGGAATACATCTATTTAGCACAGGTGATAACATGAATGAAAGACCATGAAATAAAATGATGTAATGATAGATTGGAAAGCATTTGATAAAAATAGGCATAGTGAAAATTAGGTGGCATTATATGTGGTACGGATTTGAAATATGGCAATTAATGAAATTGCACAAGAAAAAATTTAAAAATGTGCTAAGATCAGTGGAAAGAGCAGTACTAGATATAGAAAGAGATCAATGTGACTCCGAGAAGAGCTTGTTTTATTGTAGAAGTAAATAAATGGCAAAAAATGGGTCAGATCTACCCTGGCATCAAACAGTGTTTAACTCACAAAAATAAGGAATAGGGAACAATTCTTATTTAATATTTGGGTTTTCAGTTGTAGAGAACTCTCAAGATTTGCTGTTGTAGGTGTACTAAATTTTAAATTTGAAGATTTACTTACTGTACATAAGTGTTTATAAAATAATTATCCAGGGTGTCTTGGAATTAACTATTTCATTGAAATCAGGCAAATTTAAAAAAAAAAAAATGACACAATTTTATGTTTATTATGATAGAAAACAAATAGATTTATAAATCTTGTGTCAAAACTTTAATGAAAATTTTTAACGTTCTTGGTCTGTATCCCTGTAAATTTCAAATATTATCCTTAGCATTGCAAAACCTATTTTGAATCGTTTCAGGAGTTATCACCTGCACTGCTAACTGAATGCTAAATTCTTGATCTTTTGGTGATTTTGAACCCCATGTAAAGGAACCCATGTGGGAAGGAGATGAACGAAAGATGTATTCTTGTATATTCATTATTAATAGGGTTCTGAAAGGGAATGAAAATAAAATTATAAAAATGATAAAGTTATAAACAAAATTAGAAATTTATACACTTCTAAGATGAGAAATTATGATTGAAGAAATTTGAAAAAAAATAAACCAATAGAAAATAGCAGATCAAAAGAAATACAATTTTTTTTAAAAATTGTCTACTAACCAAGTTACTCCAGAGAAAATTTGTGGCCAATCAAATTTGAGTAAAGATTTATTAATGAACTAATACAGTCAGTTCATCTGTTGAAGGACATGATTTTTCATAAATAAAGAAAAAAAAATTAGGCAAGTTATAATAAATAAAGGGCTTACACTCACCAATTGATGTCAAGCATGGTCAGTACCTAGATTGGTAACCACTTTGGAATACCAGATGCTGTAAACTTGGATGTGTGAGTGGTGTAATGGATAATGGCTCTGAATTGTTAATTGGAGAGCAGAGTTTCAATTCCTGTTCAGTTTGTTATATTCACTTACATCCAAATACCTTTGGGAATGGTATTAATACACCTTATCTCCCTCCCAGCTATGGATTAATTAGTAAAACTTGTATCACCATTATTATTTAAAAAAAAAAAATTTCTTACAATCTAAAAATATTCTCTGGTTTTAAATAACCTGCAAAGTGTTCATAATCTAGAAAACGAACCAATAACTATAATCTTCAAAAATTTAAATGTAATGTCAATTGACATCTTCTGTTGCCTTGATATCCGTTCTTTTTTTTTATTTTATCTTCCTCTGTTCTCCTTTCTATCCTTTCCTACCCTCCCGCCCAAGTACTCAGTCTTTTACCTTACTTATTCTCTGTAGCCACTTGTGTACTAGTAGCACTTTCACCTTGTGTGGGAGTGAATTGCTTAAAAAAAAAAAATAATTTTCTTTATTTTTATTTATTTATTTCTTTTTTTTTTTATTTCTTTATTTTTTTTTAATTTTTTTTAATTTTTTTTTTTTTTAAGAGTGAGACATTATGTAGAAATCAATCAAATTTTTTCCAAATAGAAATTTTCAACCTGTTGCTGCTGGTTGTTCAAAATGCTTCCTTGCACAATTGGTGTCATTGAATTAAGACTCATCAGGAAATACAAATTATGGGAAAACTGAAATTTCATGGGTACTGCTAGTTTTTAATGAATAAATTCTGAAAAAAAGAAAAAAGAAAAAAGTTATTTGGCTCCTTTTCCAATTAAAGAGGTTGTTTTTGCGTCCTGGGTAAGACAATAAACTATGTCCAACAGCAAGGCCTCTGATCAGGGGACTTTGAGGAGCATGGAACCACCTCTTAATTTCTGGTATTCCCAGGTCCACCTTGACCTGGGGTGGTAGCACCTGCTAGGGTCCCAGCTATGGGCAGATAGTTTACCCCGAAATTGAGGTAAAAAGCATTATAAAAGTGTAAAAATAGGCTTTAATACCAGAAATACTTTCTAAAAATTTTATTAACAGAAATAAATTTTTGAAGAAAATAAAAATATTAGCTGCTATTCGTTTTTGAAAAAATATTAGCCGCTATATGTTTTTGAAAAAATAATATTATCAGTTATGTTTTTGAAAAAATAATATTACTAGCTATACATTTTTGAGGAAAAAAAATATTAACAGAAATAGATTTTTGACAAAACAAAAATATTACCAGAAAAAAAAAAAAGTTTTCGGCATTAAATGATCTATTGAGGTTGATATGCTGTAAAACAAAACAATCCTAACCAAACCCACTGTTTTTATTTAAAAAAGAACAAGAAAACCGTTAATTCTCATACTTAGAATAAAAACTTGCCTTCAATGGTCAAGTTTTTTTTTTTATCTCCTGTACATGATTAATATTTGTTAAATAATTTTAACCTTTTAATTTGGATATTTATTTTAACATTTATTCTTCTATTTATACATGAACCAAAAACTTATACTGACCAACACTTATGTCAAACTCCCATTTTGTATGTCATACACATACTGATTGAACTTGGTATTTGCTTATGTGAATTAAATATCATTTTATTTAATCATTTATTTTTTGGAGGCATTTATTAATATTGCAATCTTTTTTTTTCTCCCTACAGGGAACAGACATTATTAGTATTGCTTTGTGTTACATCCGGAGTGCTCAAGAAAAATCCACCAGCTGAACGAAATGGGACCCTAGGAGGTCGTTTGGTCCAACCAATATTCCAGGTATATACATACAAATGACTATGTTTGAAATAACATGAGGTTATGAATTTAGCTGTTTTAATTTTTAAACATTTTTATAGTCTTGTACGTTGGCTTGAGAAACAAGTAACTCTCAGGGATGGCGATATTTGAAATATATCCAGTGCACACATATTTTGAGATATATATATATATATATATATATATATATATATATATATATATATATATATATTTTTTTTATCTTTAGTAAGGCTTTTTGTATTTCAGAATATCTTTGTTGCTGTTAATGAGTTTTTGAACTTTTATTTTCAGACTTTGATAGTCACATGGATAAAAGCAAATTTGAGTGTGTATATATCTGCGAACTTGTGGCATCAAATCCTGGATGTTCTTTCATCTCTTACTTCATGGGATGAACTAATCAAAGAGTGGTCGGTAAGAATCTCCACACAAAATTCTTTTTCTTCTCCATGTCTTCACATCATTCTAATTTATGGTAATGAATTACCGGATTCTTAATTTGTGGCAGACATGTCTTTAAAAATTGGAATTTCATGCAACTCTCTTCATTTTCAGTTTCTTCTACTTTGTTGAAACTATTTTCTTTCTGTTTAATCATCAACCTAATAGTAGTATTAGATATAATAGCTTGGCTGTTAGTATGATGTAGAATAATATCTGAACAAAAATTGAGATAATGAGATAAAGTGGAGAAAAAAAGATTGTTCAGGTAGCATGTTTTGCTTCTTTATGAAATGTGTTTTCAGGGTGGAATGAGAGACAAGCCCTCTGGATAAGGAAAGTTGTTTGGAATTTTGAGGAAGGGGTAATAAAATAACCTTATTTCACCTTTAAGGTCAACCAGAAATGACCAGAAGGATTTTTTTTCCTTTTTTCCATGTTGAAGCCATTAATATCTGCTGGATTTGAACTCGGTCCATTAAACAGATCTACTTTGAGTCAGCTAATTTCAAATTCAGTAGACGGTAACAACTTCTAAAAAGTGGAAAGGAAAAAAAAAAAAAAACTTCTGGCCATGGCATTTGATAAAGATATTTATTACCTCTTCAAATTTTCAACATATCCTTCCTTACACATAAATTTGTTTCTCATTCCATAAGCCTGCTATAAAGAGGTGAAATGTGTAGTTGGAACAGCTTTTCTACTTTGTCTCAATATAATAGCCTATGAATTTCTTATCTTGTTGAAATTTCATTCTTTATTTCTAGTCTGCTGGTGGTACAGTAACAATCTGAGTTGTGATAAAATATAACAGATAGGCAGTAAAAGACTAATTAATAAAAAAAAAAAAAAAAAAATTACAAGCCTTTAACACATTGAGAGCCAACCATGAGATAACATGTGGTTGGCTCATTTTATTATAGTGCAGACTATGTAGGCTATCTGGTGCTGGGTGTTTTCTGATACTGCTTGTGCCTAGATTAAAATGTAAGTTTATCTGCAGCAATATTTTTAGTGTGAAAACAATGTTAAAACTTCAGTTGACGCTATAGATCATAAAAAAAATGTATGGCATAAGTTGACTATTATAAAGTTCAATTTTGAAGTTGGATTTTGTAATTGACCTTTGGCAGTGGATGTGTTAACAATTATTGACATTAAATAAACACAGACTTAAAAATTAATATAATAATTTTTCATGTTGTATTAAGATCTTCTGGTGGGATTTTGACTCTGGACATGGGATATACAGAAAATTATTGTTTTATGATTTCAATAGCTATACGTTAGTGTTGAAAAGTCTTTGTACTCCCACCCCAATCTGATCTTAGGTCATTTGGCCAGATTTTGAGAAGTGAGAGAATTTTCAGCATCCTTTGTACATGCAATTTAAAATTTTGTTCTTTCCTATTTATAAGTCTTTGAGTAAATACTGAAGCTTGCTATTGCCTTTTTTTTTTTTTTTTTTTTTTTGGATATATTATGTAAACTTAACCGTATCTCAGACAGGGCTGGGGGCTGCCCTTTTTTTCTGCACATAACTTTCAATTTATACTGCTCGTTTTGAATTGAAACTCTCAATATGTTACTAAAAATAGACTTTTGTGGCTAAAAAAAAAAAAAAAAAACGCCCAAGGAATAAAGGCATACATTAGTAATAAAATTGTAACAATATTTGACAAGAAAACATTGTATTTAGCAAATATTTTAATTATGTTGATGTCAGTAAAATTGCAAAAAGCTGGAAAATTATTTTTTGTTTTATTTATGCGTTTGTAGACCATTCTGCTATAAATAATTTCAATAATAAAATCGATATCAATGCGTATTTCCCAAAAAGTCAATGATTGCATTGAGACTGAAGTAGAATTGTATAGATTTTTTTTTACCAGTTATGCAAATAAAACATTTGGACTTTTGTCATATGGATTCCTTAGAATATAAATAAAACAATGACAAATATGTTGATCATTTAAGAACTGTTTCTATTGACAGCTGCTTAGAACTTGGCTTTTATTGCAGTAATTTTAAAAACATAACTATATCCTTACATAAGATAATAGATTTTTATTTTATTTAAAATTAAAAATAAATTAATTCCTAATTTGTCTTTCATAAATTAAAAAAAAAATACTAATGGTGAACTCCTCACTTCTTAATATACAAAATTTAAAAAAAAATATTTAATGTAAATCTATCCTTTTCTTGATTTATCTATTCTTATTGATTCCCCTTAAATTCATGTTTGTATTGTCTATAAAGGGGATTCACATGACCTGCAAAGACTCTTTATTTTGTGCTATGAGCATTCAAAAGGGACAGTAAGTCTTTAGAAGAATTGCTTGAAGGAGATGAAATTGAAATGTGATTGGGACAAGTTACAACATTATATATAAAATTTCTTCTTGTGTAAATCAACTACGGGATAAAGTCTGCCTTGAAATTGACCAATTCCAATAAATTTTAGAAAGTGCTCAATACCTAGTCCGTAGAGTAATTTTCACAATTATTATCTTAAAAAAGATATAAAAACATTACCATCACACTAGTGCGGTTTCACCCCTTCAGATCCAAGGTTATTTTGGTAAGGTTGTCACATCTTTTGAAAAAAATTTTTATATATATATATATATATATATATATATATATATATATGTATATAAAATGTGTGTGTTGACTGCTCTATCTTTGACATTGAGCATTTTTACCTATAAATATAGCATACTTAAAAACTAATGTGTGTATGTGTGTAATATATATATATATATATATATATAGTGATTTTCTAAGCCCGGCTTAGATGTGGCACAAGACTGAAAGTATAGGGTACCCAGTGAGGATCAAACTCACTACTCAGTCGTAATTGATCTAGCAAGACGAGCTTTCTAACCATTACACCACGTCGAGGTACCCTGTTTGTTATTTTACTATAGTGATTTTCCAAGCGTAGCTTAGATGTGGCACAAGGCCGAAATTAGGGGGTACCCAGTGAGGATCAAACTCACTACTCAGTCGTAATTGTTCTAGCGAGCTAAGCTAGACAACCATTACACCGCCTCGAGGTGCCTAATATATATATATATATATATATATATATATATATATATATATATATATATAATCTATATAGTGGGGAGGAACAAGTATTCGTACACATACAAATTTTTAATTGTATTTCTAACTAATAAATAAACATACTTTTCATATAATTAACTGTACACAGATGAATATTAACTAAATATGCATAAAAAAAATTATTTAATAGAAATAAATCCCATTTATCCATTTTAATGGATGAAAAAATATTCGTAGAATACAAAAAAGAATACATAACCTTCATTTAATACTTTGTAGAATAGCCATTGTTCACTTCTACAGCAACCAACCTCTTCTTGTATTTCTCAATTAATGATTTTCAAATTAATTGGTATTTTGCTCCATTCTTATTTGAATATGGTCTTCAGATCCAGGATGTTTGTTGAAGCTCTCAATTGGATTTGAATTTTCAAATAACACCATAGATTCTCGATTGGGTTTAAATCTGGGGACTAACTTGGCTATTTCAAGATATTTACATTATTTTCAGCAAGCCATTTCTTCATAGATTTTGCATTGTGCTTAGGATCATTTCTTGTTGCAAGATCCAATCAGGAGGAAGTTCAAGATTTTCAACTAAAATCATTAAATTTGCTTCCAAAGTATTTTGATATGCTGCGGCATTTATTTTACCATCCCTTACTGATATGTTGCCAGTACCTTTTGCAGAAATACATTCCCAAACAATGATGCCACCACCACCAAATTTCACTATTGGAACTGAGTTCTTTTGTTTGAAGGCATCGCCATATTTAATCCATACATGATTTTTAGAATTATGTCCAAAGAACTCCATTTTGGTTTTGTCTGTCCATAATACTCTTTCTCAATGAAATTTTTTATTATCCTTATGTTCAGGAATGAATGCATTTCTGTGTCTTTTCAATAGCAGTGGAGTTTTCCGAGGGGAGTGTGACTTTAGATTGTTCTTAGGAATTTCATTACTTATTGTCTGTTTAGTGACACGGATTCCTGATGAAAGCAAATCATCCTGCAACTCTTGACGCATAACCATTGGATTTGGTTTAATTTGACAATTGACATTAATTCTGTTACATTAACTGTGCTCCATTTACCAGTGCAATTTTAGCATAATGGCCAGCAACCTGTTCAAATATTTGAAAAGTAGTACTGGAGAAGAAAAGATGCTGTTTTAGAGCATTTAGAAAAATTGTTAACATAGCCAGCATTATGCTTTTAATTCAGGTCTGTTGTAATATCTTTTAAGAAATTGATATCAAGTTTCAAAGATCCTTTCCAAGGAAGCTAATAGCATTTTATAGTGGGCCAAGCAAGCAAGTAAGAATACATGTTCGAGGATTAAAATATTGCCTGGAAGAAATCTTATGAAGAAAAGAAACTAACAAGTCACAGTTAAAAAGGGATTTGAGCTTTGAAACTATTTTGGAAAGATTTTCATATTTTCTTTTAGAAGTATCTTCTGTCGCCCCCCCCCCTCCGTACCCTGCTATTTACTCTTTTTGCCCCCCTTTTTTTGAGTTGATTTTCTTTTTTGTTTGTTTTCTGATTTTTTTTTTCTATTTTATTTTGTTAAAAGAAGAAAGATAACTATTTTTATTCATCAATATTCCCCCCTTTTTTGCACCCCCTATTTTTCCTTTTATGCCCCCCCTCCTTAAAGTTATTTTATTTAGTTTTTCTGATTTTTATTTTATTAAGAGAAAGGTGACAATATTTTTATAATTACCAACATTTTTTACCTTTTTTTTTTCACCCCCCTTTTTAAGTTGATTTTTTTTTTTGATTTTTTACTTTTTTTTTTTGATTTCTTTGTTTTATTAAAAGGAGAAAGATGGCAGTATTTTTATTTATCAATATATATATATATATATATATATATATATATATATATATTTATATATTTTTTTTTTTTTTTAATTCAGAAAACTATCAATACCCTGACCAGAGTACTGGCTCGGCAAGTATACAATCTTGATATGCACGATTTGCCTCTGGACAGACTCACTGAACAGAAAGAGAAGAAACGGAGAGGAAAGACCCAAGGTATAGGTATACAAAATGACATTCAAATTTTGGTTTTACTTTTCTTGTTATTCTACTTTCAAAGCATCAAGTGCAATTTAAAACTGCAACTACTGAACATATCACCATCTGACTTAACTTTCATATTATTTACTCAGTAAGTTTTGCTCATTTCTTTATATTCCATTTTATTAGCAGAAGATTTACGTCCCTGTTTCTCGGGTCCTGATTGCTAACATGGAAGGATTTACATTTTGATTAAATAACTATTTGAATTTGTCATTTAGTTATCTTTTTTTATCTAAATTATAAATTGAAGTTTTCATTTTTTTTTTTTTTTTCCTTTTTTTCTTTTAAAAAAAAAAAAAAGGAAAATGCAGTATTCAGAGGATTGATATTGTTGGATAATAACTTAATTTTTAAAACAAGAGATTAAAGACAATGGATTTGCATGTTAGAAACTGCAAATATTTATGCAGCACTTATTTTGACTAACTGCATTACTTAGAATGATTACTTCACTATTTTTATAAATATAAAAACACTCTTACTTGGCAATAATATAAGGGACAGGTGGCTATAAAAAGTCACTGTTGAATGAATGATAGCATGTTTGATTTTTATAGTTGTGTTGTCATATCCTGCTATGGCAACAGAAAATGACTATGACTGAAATTAAGTAGTGCAATAGAGGAGCCTTGAAAAACAATGGAAAGGAAAGTAGTGAATAATGTAGAGTGTTAAAGGTTAAATTCATTTTGGAGAAAGGACTGACATGCAACATTTTGATTTGTACATAAATAATCCAGTTACTTTTGGCAATTTCTATGTTAGTAACAGTTTAATTAATGCTTATACAATATATACTGCAGATGGAACTGAATTTGATCTTTATGAGTAAGAGTGTGTGTAAAAAAAAAAAAAAAAAAAAATTCATGTGTTTTGATCTGTTAATAAATATTTACCTTCTGTTTGAATTAGAATTAAAATATAATTTTATAAGCTCATTGTTAAAATTTAAAATCTTTTGATTTGGTTTGTATCTGCTTGCTTCCTACACTCAGTTTTTTGTTTGGTTGTATGGTATAAATGTTTGTAATTATTATTCTGTGTTGTTTATTATTTTGTTTTGAGTTGAGTAGATACACAAATGAATTTAACTGCTTTTTATTCTCTCTTATTGATGATATAATTTTCTTTGTTTTGTCTTTTGTTCTGTTATTTCTGTATAAAATTTCCTTAAAATTGTCCATTTTGTAGTATGACATTTCCTTTTTGTTTTTATTTTTATTTTTGCTGTTTATATTTGCATGCAGTCATGAAAATTGAAGTCCCCTTTTTTTTTTCTTTCCTTAATCAAAATGGCTGTCAATAAATAGAAAGTACCAACATTCAACAAAAATATTATAATTCTAGTAAGGTTTCTTTTCTTTTTCTGTTTTTTTTTTCTTTTCTTTTTCTGTTTTTTTTTTCTTTTCTTTTTCTGTTTTTTTTTTCTTTTCTTTTTCCTGTTTTTTTCCTTTTCTTTTTTCCTGTTTTTTTTCCTTTTCTTTTTTCCTGTTTTTTTTCCTTTTCTTTTTTCCTGTTTTTTTTCCTTTTCTTTTTTCCTGTTTTTTTTCCTTTTCTTTTTCCTGTTTTTTTTCCTTTTCTTTTTCTGTTTTTTTTACCTTTTATTTTTTCCTGTTTTTTTACCTTTTATTTTTTCCTGTTTTTTTACCTTTTCTTTTTTCCTGTTTTTTTACCTTTTCTTTTCTTTTTTCCTGTTCTTTTCTTTTTCCTGTTCTTTTCTTTTTCCTGTTCTTTTCTTTTTCCTGTTCTTTTCTTTTTCCTGTTCTTTTCTTTTTCCTGTTCTTTTTCCTGTTCTTTTTCCTGTTCTTTTTCCTTGTTCTTTTTTCCTGTTCTTTTTCCTGTTCTTTTTTCTTTTTTCTTTTTCCTGTTCTTTTTTCCTTTTTTCCTTTTTCTTTTTCCTTTTTCTTTTCCTTTTTTTTTTTTTTTTTTTTCTTTTTCCTTTTTTCTTTTTCCTTTTTTTCTTTTCTTTTTTTCTTTTTCCTTTTTTTTCCTTTTCTTTCTTTCTGTTTTTCTTTCCCTTTTCTTTCTTTCTGTTTTTCTTTCCCTTTTCTTTCTTTCTGTTTTTTTTTTTTTTTTTTCTTTCTGTTTTCTTTCCCTTTCCTTTCTTTCTGTTTTTCTTTCCCTTTCCTTTCTTTCTGTTTTTCTTTCCCTTTCCTTTCTTTCTGTTTTTTTCTTTCCCTTTCCTTTCTTTCTGTTTTTCTTTCCCTTTCCTTTCTTTCTGTTTTTTCTTTCCCTTTCCTTTCTTTCTGTTTTTTTCTTCCCTTTCCTTTCTTTCTGTTTTTCTTTCCCTTTCCTTTCTTTCTGTTTTTCTTTCCCTTTCCTTTCTTTCTGTTTTTCTTTCCCTTTCCTTTCTTTCTGTTTTTCTTTCCCTTTCCTTTCTTTCTGTTTTTCTTTCCCTTTCCTTTCTTTCTGTTTTTCTTTCCTTTCCTTTCTTTCTGTTTTTCTTTCCCTTTCCTTTCTTTCTGTTTTTCTTTCCCTTTCCTTTCTTTCTGTTTTTCTTTCCCTTTCCTTTCTTTCTGTTTTCTTTCCCTTTCCTTTCTTTCTGTTTTCTTTCCCTTTCCTTTCTTTTCTGTTTTTCTTTCCCTTTCCTTTCTTTCTGTTTTTCTTTCCCTTTCCTTTCTTTCTGTTTTTCTTTCCCTTTCCTTTCTTTCTGTTTTTCTTTCCCTTTCCTTTCTTTCTGTTTTTCTTTCCCTTTCCTTTCTTTCTGTTTTCTTTCCCTTTCCTTTCTTTCTGTTTTTCTTTCCCTTTCCTTTCTTTCTGTTTTTCTTTCCCTTTCCTTTCTTTCTGTTTTTCTTTCCCTTTCCTTTCTTTCTGTTTTTCTTTCCCTTTCCTTTCTTTCTGTTATTTTTTCTGTTTTTTTTTTTCCATTTTTTTTCTCTCTCCTCTCTTTTTTTCTCTCTCTCTCCTTTTTTTTTTTTTTTAATTATCAAAACTAGGTCTTATAAAATTAAGTTTGCTGCTATTGACACTGCCATCAATTCATTGCTAAATTCTTCAGACTTTAACTTTTTTAAATTGAAATTTTTTTTCCTCCTATTTTTATTCTGTTCTTCAGTAACAGCGCAGCACTCTGCAATTTCTCACTCTCTTTCTCTCTTTCACTAATTTGGTTTGAATTTCCTCTAAGTCCCATCAATGTCTCATGTTGTATAACATTTCAGACTCATTGACATCCTGCAGTGTCTGGAATGATTTGAACACGGCACCAGTTCAAAGGTCTACCCACCCTAATTTGAATTCTGAAGGTAAAATTCTATAAGAAAACAAATAAAACCAACTCATTTTGTGTATGTATCCTTAGCTCATGCATACAGGCATCCACATGCTGTGTGTACTTGTGTGATGACCTACAGTTGTGATGAAACTGGTGTTATGCCATATTTTATACAAATTCCTTGAATGTCATTGGTAATTTATAGCTTGAAATCTAATATTAGTCATACTAATTTGTCTTACTTGTGGTTAGTCAAAAATGACTTACCGGTTAGTTTCTTCACAATATTTGAATAGATAATGTAATTATCTAAGCAAATATAGCCTATATAGAATTTTTTTAAATAGATTCTAAAACATGTAACAGGAAATGGATTACAGCAGCTGGAAGCTTGCTGTCGCTCAGATGAGTAAGGAGGAGGAGAGAGAGGATGGAACCAGCATTCAGAGATTCAGATGTGGTTTTCACTTGCAGTAATTGCAATAATATGCTGTTTTGAGATTCAGCTGTGCAGCCACAGCAGTTTATGCAACTCAACCACAGACTAGACCGACTAACTTCTGGCATATACTACATTTTTACCAGACAAAGCTACCCACTAACAACTAACACCTGTATCTCTTGGCTAATAAGCTACTAATTCTTTTTTTTGTCAGATGGTTGGCTGATTTGGTTTTGAGAATTTTAATTATAAGTTTTGAATATTGATTTCCAATCATCTGTATGATGCTAATATCATTTAGAATTTCCCTTAGGCATGAAAATGAAAGCAAACTTTTAGGATTATTTTACAAGCATGAGCAGATAGTTATTATGTAAGAAGCATTGTAGTGCCCTATTAAATTCAGGTGGAAGAAAAATTTGGTTATGATTCATATGTACAAATTTTTTTTTTTTTTTTTTTTTTTTTTTTTTCTTCTTCTTTGGTGATAGTCCCTATAAAATTATTACTTGAGGGTTTATATTATTTTGTGAGGTTTTGTCGTATTTTTTTTCTTTAAATTCTCTCTTTGTGTTAAAAAAAAAATAAAAAAAACTTTCTCCAAACCTGGACATTTTTATTGCATTTTTTTTAATTCTATATTTAATGACAAGTGAATCAGAATTGTAATTTAAAACACAAAGAAACGGTATGTAGACTTTGTGAGAGGCTGTTAATTCTGTGAACTGTTTTAATTAACCTTAATGCTGAAATTAGCAAGTTAAATATAAATTTTGAAGAATCATCTGAGATTTTTTTTTTTTTCTTCAAACATTTCTGCCTTGAGGTTGTCTTTAAATCTTGCATGAATCTTCAATTTATTTTTGTACGTTAAGTTTTATCTTATTTTTAATATGAATTTAATGCATGGTGTTTGATTTTTGTTTGTTTTTTTTCTTCTACTCCCAACTGCATTTTGCCTTATTTAAAGGAATGAAGATAACATGTCTCTAAAATAACTGAATATTTTTTTGTTTTTTGTTGTAAGTAAAAATGAGTCATGAATTGAGGACTCGCAATCTCTGATTAATTTTGCTACTTGATTGTTTGGGTGACTCTTTTTCATATTTGGTTTAAAGATTTCTGTTAGCTGAATAAATACAGTGTTCACGTACTGAGAGAAAGCAAGAGCAGGGTGTATGATCTAAGGGTAACTTGATTGTCAGTAGTAGGAAGGAACCCGAGTGGAATTCATGGAAATTTCACTTGGTTCTCATTTAAAAGGTAATCTATTGTTATTGTCTTAATTCATGGTGTCCCTCTGATATTTTGAATGTTGTTGCATTGGGTACTACATGAATTACTGATTCCTTGAATCTTATAGAATCTGTGACAAAATATTTATTTAGATAAAAAAAAATGAAATCTTATTTTACAGAATGTGCAAAAAAAAATTTTTATATAAAAAATGAAATTGTATTTTATCATAGCATGTGCCAAAAATATTGATAATCAGTTGAATTAGAATTATGATTGTAAATACATTCACCGAATGAAAAAATGTGAAATGCATTTAGATCATAAAAGAAATTAAACAAGGGATGCATAAAAACTTGGGAAAGATTTCTTGTTTGTCTATTTTCAACTTACACCATTCCTCACCTTACCTCATTAACCGAGTGATATTGATGGTACCTTGAAGATTAAGGGTAATATTCACTTGGTTCTCAGATATTCTCATATCATAGATACTATTTTAAGTCTGTCTATAGCTGTAGTGATTTAACTTGGTGTTTCTTAGTTTTGGTGTAAAGCCACCTAGTGAGAATCAAACTCACAGCTCAGTAATAATGATCTATGAAACTAGTTTGTTTGATATTAGCACCCTGTATATCTATAGAAGTATAATAATTGCTAGTGACCTTGATTGTTAATATTTTTTTGTTTAGCATTGAATTTACTTAAGTAGACTGGTCCAATCATAAAAAAAATAGGGAAAACCTTTGAAAATATTAAATTAGCATTTTCCCAAGTCACAACATTTATTTTAATTAATAATATTTATTGTTTTAGAAGAGGTGTCCTCTTTATAATATCAGTATAGTGTAAAATTGATCACTGATTTCTTACAGTTATTGGACTTAGTTATTTTGCATATGAAAAGACTTTAAAAGAAATTTTTCTTTTTTATCAAAAAGATTTTTATATAAAGAATAAATGGATATATGCACTTTTTATTAAAAATAAAAATGTATATAAATAAATTAAAGTATATATCCATTTATTCTTTAAGATATGATAATAATAAAAAAAAAAAAATTAACCTGTTACTATATAAAGTTTCCTTAAAATTTAAACACTTTTTGCCTAGCCTACCTTGCTAGCTGGAAGATTATGAATGCTCCCCTCTCTCTAAAAAAAATAAAGTTTCAGCATCCTAGCTTAGTAGGAGTTAATTAAATCAAAGAAAGCATGAGACTTACCAATTATTAAATCGAGAGGATGGGCTCCAAACTTATGGCCAATAATGTATTGTCTTTTTTTTGTGCATAATACAAGAAATTTTGAATGAAAATTAATGGCAAAAAAGGGAGGCCGTATTATACACAAGTACAGGTTTTCAGTAATTTTTACTCAGCTTAAAAAAACCTCTTATTTGAAATAGCAACATTACAGATACACCGAGTTTTGCTTAAAAGATAAAGTTTGCATATATTTTGATTTTCTTGTTTCTTTATAAATTTTCTCTTGTCATTAAGAACGACAACATAAAAATTAATAAAGACAGTATTTTTTATTTTCATATTTTATTATTCATATATAGAAATATAATAGTCAAATCAAACAGAAGTATGATAGATTAATTAACACCTTAAAATTTATTACCAGTGATGTCTAGTTAGCACCTTTCTCTGAAAATAAGATTTGAAACAGAAATTAGAAGAAACATTCAATGGCTAAACATCTGGCTTATTTCTATTCTTTAATATTGTAAAATATTAAATATGTTAGTGAAATATGTGTGTGATTTTATATGTGAGATTTTAATGAATAATATGGTATAACTTTAAAAAAAAAAAAATTTACATGGGATAGCTATACTATGAGTTATATTATACTCAAGGATGTAATCTATTACCTGATTTTAGCATATTTTACTCAAGTCATATACACAAGAAAATATGGTATATTTAAAAAGGTTTGTCGATGCATTTAAATATAGCATGCTTATAAAATGAAGCAAAAAGCATGGAATTTAATTTCCTCAAGAAGCCACCAATGATTTCTTTTGATACTCAAAACTGCTCTTCTGACTGTAATTATTATAAATCACATGGCCTGAATGAAATCGGTAGTGATCTTTTAATTATTTATTCTGTTACCATATTCAGAAAGTAGTTTACTCAGGATGAATTTACTTCCTCTTTATTAATTATATTGAGTCCTGTGTATTTGAGCAGCAAATATTCTTTAAGGAAAAAACTATTAAAAAAAAACGACAGACATTATGTGTCAATTAATTTTAATGATCAGCTTTTCCAAATTATGTATAATCCATCCTGGACAAGAAGTAAATTCTGTCAACAATTGTCCAAAGTTTGTTTCAGAAGAAAAGTACAGGAAATATGTTCCAAGCTTTTTATCATCAGAGTACACCCGTCACATCTCGTTTACGTCACAACACTCACTATTTCTACAAAACTTACCAACTGTCTATACCTATCCTAATTTGGAACCGTTGATCATTAAAATTAATCAAAACAAAAAGTTTGTTATTTTTAATAGTATTTGCCTTAAATAACTACATTAGATATATATTTGCATCCTGGGTATGACGATAAACTAGATCTGCGTCCAGGGTAAAACAATAAACTACGTCCAACAGCAAGGCCTCTGATCAGGAGGCTTTAAGGAGCGTGGAACCTCCTCTTAATTGCTGGTGTTCCCAGGTCCACCCTGACCCAGGGTGGTAGCACATGTTAGGGTCCCAGCTATGGGCAAATAGTTAACCCAGAAACTGAGGTAAAAGGCATTATAAAAATGTAAAAATAGGTTTTAATACCAGAAATACTTTGTAAAAAATTATTACCAGAAATAAATTTTTGAAGAAAAAAAAAATATTACCAGCAATATGTTTTTGAAAAAATATTATTACTAGCTATACATTTTTGAGGAAAAAAATATTAACAGATATAGATTTTTGACAAAACAAAAATATTACCAGAAAAAAAAAAGTTGTCATTGGCATTAAATGACACATTGAGGTTGATATGCCGTAAAACAAAACAAACCAATTTAATTTCATTCATTGGTAAGTATAAGAAAATTTTTATTACTTTAGTAGAAAATAATAAGCGAGGTATGTTTTATTAGCTAAAAGCTTTTTGGGAGGGAACTGAAGACTTCTTTTTTTTTTTTTTTTTAAAAACATCAACCAGAATATTCAACTTCTCTTTTCACAATGCTGTTGCTTCTATTTGTCATGTCTCTTCAGGATATTGGAGATCATGGCACTCCACAATTTCCTGTCCTTTGTAGCAACTAGTAAATTTTGTCTTTTTGTTATCTCTCCTAAACCCTTCTCTACTATCCATTTACATTTATTTAGG